GCTTTGACTCCGACAAAAAAAAAGGATTGGGCCCTTGCTGTAACATGACAGAAAACCTGAAATGGTGGGTTTAAATTAAAACCCACTGTTTCAATTTAGGGGACATAGAATAAAAACCTGAGAACTAAATCCCCATCACGTGTACAAGTGCCCTAGGGGCCAATCTCTCAAATGGTTAATAACAAACACAGTGAGAATTGTTCCATGACTGGGGAACTTTGAAAAAAGTCTATTAGCAGTCCCTTTCAGAACTTTCTTAGATTTGCCACCTTCTGTGAAGGAATATGTTCATCATTTTGATATAGGAGTTTGGGGGATGGCCTTACAGAGCTGAACAAATCTTTTTAAGAGAAAAAATGTTTCACTGAAAAATGTAGTTTCAATAACACTTTGCAGCAAATAAAATTGTCTTTGACATTTCTTGTTTTTCATAGAATTTTAAAATGAGTCAGTTTGGACTAAAATGTTGATATTTTTAGGATATTTTTTCATATTTATTTAACACTAGAATGTGTCCTTTCACAATAAATACATTCTAAATGACACTTTTCTGAATAAATATTTTTGAAAAAAGTTCAGGTGGGAATTTTTTGTTGAAAAATTAAGTGTTTCAAACAAGATTAAAGAGTCTTTCTTCTTTTGAAATTAATCTTTCTTAGTGCTGAAATCTAGGAGCTCTGGGGGCTCTTTCTGTGAAGGCTTGTCTGCATTGCACAAGGACTCTAGTACACCTCACACACCTGCTAACCCAAGTCTGTAAGCATGTCCAAAGTTCACCAGTATGGCTGCTTCAGGCTCATCCCCAGCACCTGCTGTCAAACCAATTACAGACCTAGAAGAAGGCACAAAGGGGCAAGACCAGAGTACATTCTGGTCTTGTGCCTCTGTATTTCCAGTTTGGACCATTTCAGTTGAATGGAATGTGCTTGTGTGTGTCCCATCCCCAAACCCCGGTCTCTGTACCAGGACCAGTACATAATGCTGCCATATTATAAGCTATCCCTAAGAGACCACATAATTCCATACTGGGTGCATCTACACATGACACTATGTCACTGTAGCAATGTGCTATGGCAATGTAGAATCCATGGGTGTCTACACATGACCAGCAGCAGGTGTTTACATGCGACTTCTCTGGTATAGTGCACCACTACAGCACTAAAAACCTGAGAATCATAGAAAATTAGGGTTGGAACGGACCTCAGGAGGTCATCTAATCCAACCCCCTGCTCAAAGCAGGACTATCCCCAACTAAATCATTCTAGTTAGGGCTTTGTCAAGCCAGGCTTTAAAAACCATGTACCACACATACAGTGCACTATAGGCTGTTACTGCACTGAGATTTAGTACTTCCCAAAAGAATTACTAAATCATGGCGCAGTAACAATGCCGCCATAGCGACACATGTAGACTCACCCACTGATTACTGCTCTTAGCATATCTTCTCCAGAACTTAAGATGCACATTGCATTGGAGCTGTATGCACTGGAGCTGCTCAGAACTTGACAAAAAATGTAATAATACTGCCTCTGGCAGTACTATAGCTAAAAGGAAGAATTTACATCCCCTCTAATCCCACTCTGGTCCAGCCCTACTTCCCCTTAACCTACCAATACCTGCTCCTGAACAGACCCCAGACACACTTTAATAACATTGGAGTGGGCAGCTGATCCTCCTTTCACACAGGAGAAGGGTAAATCATGTGTGTAAGGTCCCCCCTGTGAACTAATATGGTGTAAACTCCTCTGGGTCACTAAATGCAGTGAAGCATTGTATCAGTTTAAGAGTCTAATTGATCACATCTCTTTGCAGGATCAGGGCATGACTTTCTGTTCAGGCTTCGGTTATAACCTTTATTTTCGCTACTGGTCCTGAGGCTTTTTCCATGATTGGTCTAAACCCAGAGATTAATTTCTCTGAGAAAGTTTAAAAGACAATCCCTGTAGTCATTTATGAGCAATCATACAGTGAACAAAAATTGGCTTTTTTAAAAAGCAAAGAAAATTTTGCTCTTAAAATAAGTTGCAAACAAATGAATAGACCCCAGATGTAAAAATCAAGTTGTTTGTGGTGCCCGTCCTCACAGCTATTCGCAGATGGGTGTTAATTTTGTTGGCAGAAACTGAAACCACAAAAGGGAGTCTGTCTTTTGGAATATTAATCCTAATTTGAGCAATGTGGGCAAGTAAATGTTCCTATGAGAGCCATAAATTACTTCCTGGCTTTTTCTACTTAAATTTTCAACTTAGCATTGTTTAGGGTTTTCTTAGTTTGTTAATAGCTTACTAGAAGTTAATCACACAGAAATCTAAGCACATAGACACATTCTGATTATGAGCAAAATTGTCCTTTGTCTTGTATCCTCTTGTAGAAGAGTGATAAACTAAAGATACAATTTTTTTTGCCTCCATGCAGACAACCCTGATCTCAGGTCACAGTGAAGTGGGGACAACAGCCTCTAGGAGGCCATTACTCCTCTGCCTACACAGGTAATCAGGGAATAGTTAGGGCCCAGGAATGGTAGAAAACTTGATAACCACTCACTTTCAAAGAACTAGATGACAGTAGAGCCAGTGCAAAAGAAGTAGTAATTTGAAACTGGTACAGATTTGACTGCTCCTCCCAAATACCTGGGAGAACTCTGTTCATAACTCATTCCCTAGTCTGTTCACTCTTGTTACCTTGAACTCTCAGCAGATTGTAATGTTAGGGCTTGGCTTAATACCATTAATGATAATTATTTAGCTTCCTGATAGCTTTGTGATTCAAGATCAGTATTTTAATCTCCATTAATTTAAGCAGACACTGAAACTGAGGAACAAAGTGGTTCAATGATTTGCTCAGTTTCACACATGGGCTTGCCTGTACTGTGGCACCAATGAGGACAAGCATGCTCTGCCCACCCAACTCAACAGGCATGTTTTAGATCTGGAAGTTTGCCAATGCAACAGCTTTGGGCCTGCTCTCAAGTCTCTGCCGGACCTGAAAATGGGCACTGCAAACGAGCCTAAAGCAGCTTCATTGCTAAACCTCCAGCTCTGGAAACTGTCAGTAGACTCAGGTGGCTAAAGCATGCTCCCTGGGACTGGCCATTGATATGGTAAGGGAGGCTCTAGTAGAAGAAATAATGAAGTCTCCTGGTTGCCAGTTCTGAAAATACCAAACAACATGTATCCACAGCTTGTTTCTCCTGTGGAATTTCAGATTAAAAAAAAAAATAAAATCTGCAAATGGTAGCCAAACAACACACATTTTGTATTATTCCCTTTTCAGGTGGAAGTATGTTCTTCAGATTCATATTAATAAGCTGCTTCTCATGAGGCAACCCATTAAATTTAATAGGAGAGCTAACATAAACCTCACATGAAATGAAATAGTTGCAGTTATGTTTACATTTTCTTTAATAGTATGCTGTGCATTCCTATAATACAAACACACTTATACATTTTATTTAGTAGTAAACAAGACTGTAATGATTTTTTTTTCATTTTGCCACTTTTTTGTTCTTTGTGGAGCACCAATGTAGTGAGTGCTGTTGGTTGAACATCAGACTAAAATAGATTACAGGCTTTTTTAATATGGAAGATAACTAACATTCTAGAGATTTGTTTTCAATTGATGCAACACTTCAATGCTTTTAAAATAATCTATAATTGATAATTAATTGGCAGTTAGATGATGATGGTGCACAAATCTATTGAGAAAGTTGATTTTGTTTGTAGTGCCTGAACTAAAGACTTTTTCTTTTTCTGAGGGGAATTGCAATGGGATTTCTAACGAAAAATTTCACAGATCTCAGCATAGAGTAGATTTGCTCCCTCTTTGGTATGAGAATGAACTCAATCCTCTTTAATGATATCTCCTAATTACTGCATGATTTTCTAGCTGCCAAGCAAAATAAGCTATAGCCAGATTACCCTTTCTGTCTAAAAAATTAGTACAATGGATGGTATACTGTATTTATCCAAATCCAAGACAACCCCCTACTATAATTAAATTATTAGCATGGAAAATATATAAATTTGTTATACATATCCCATGTCTAGAATGTAATTATTGGAGGGCTATTTTAATTCCCTCCCTCCCCCCACCTGCAAGCAGCAGTGGGGGCAGGTGGCGGTGGGGTAAGCAGCAGCTGGGTAGTTAAGTGGCTTGACACCTGCCCCTTGTTACCTGTCCTTCTAACCACTTGCTCCTGTGGCTGCCTGCCCCCGTGGTGCTTGCACACCCCAAACCTGCCCTCCTGCCATTTGTCCCACCTGCAGACTTGCTCTTTGAGTCAGAGCCACAGCTGCTGCCCCCCATCCTGTATTCAAATCTAAGATGAGGGGCTTTCTCCCCCATGTCAAATTGGTAAAAACCTCAGCTTAGATTCAAGTAAATATAATACTTTTCACCAGATCGTCAGCTGGTATAAACTGGCATAGCTTAGCCCATGGCAACTCTGTGAAATAGCATACAATCCTGACCATATTACATAAGCTAATGGACATTTTGCCCAACTGATGAGCTTTGCAGTTGAATAGACCCAGAACTCTTGATTCCAAGTCCTAGTCTGGTTTTACAAGACCATCATTCCTCCCTCTACTGCAGCTTAGCTATACTGGTGGGACAGTCTACCTCATTTTACTGGACCCCATCACAACACTACCTTTATTGGATCCATTAAAAATGTTAATCAATGATACTCAATAATGCACTTTTTTAGAGGTATTGTCAGCCCCATTTTTAGATGGAGGTGTAAACTACAGGCAAAATGACTTAATAAAGTTCATACAGAACGTTTGTAGTAGAAGCAGGAATTGAATAGAAATGCTATTTCATTTCTATATCTATGAGATCATCTTTCATTCCACTTGTGATCAGTTATCCTGTTGTACCCTATATAGAGAATCCCAAAACATAATATCAACTATTTTCCACCTTGAAACTGATATAACTGGGGAATGAATTGTAATCATAGTTCCTCCCAATAGTTGAGAGGGAAAGAATCTGCTTGGGGTCTATACCACCTTCAGAATACTGTTCCTCCTGTGCTGGCTCTGCTCAGTCAATAAATTCTTGGGTAAATGGTAGTCAAAATGGTCTCTTCTAGCTTTAAACTCCACAAGGTTAAAAAAAAAAAAAGAAAATTAAAAAGGAGGATAACAGTTAGCTTATTTTAAAGAAGCACAATTTTTGTCTGAAATTTGAAAATAATTCTTTTAAACCATTTTAAAACTACTCGCATCAAAACATTATTGAACAATTGAAATAGTCATCATTTTAAAACTACAATTTGTAACTCAAATTGACATGAAAATGGAAAAAAGCAAAAAAAGAGGTGATTGGAAAATTTATACTCTTACGCTGCGTCCAGACAAGCAAGGCCATGCATTTGCAGCAGCACAAATTTGTGCTGCTACTTTACGCTGCAGTGCATGGCCCTGCATGTGTGCGTTGCTGCAGGACACATTTGTTGCCCCGCTGTGGTCAAACTGCCCGTGCCCAGCTCCCAGCATGCTGCTCTGCCTGGGCTCCATGTCCTATGGGAGGAGGAGTGGGGGAGGCAGGAAGGAGGATAGGGCACATGGTGCCTCAATGCAGGGCTTACCAGTAGGCAGCCCCAGCACTGAGGCACCCTGTGCCCCAGCCAGCCAGGGAGTGGCACATGGAGAGAGGGAAGCAGGCAGCCCAGGGCTGCTGGCTCTCTCATCTCCATGAGCTGTGGAGGCCCTGTGCTGAGGCACGCTGCATCCCAGCCAGCTGCAGAGTGGCTGGCTAGGGTGCAGTATGCCTCAAGACAGGAAAGAAGGCAGCCCTGGGCTAACTGCTCCCCCATTTCCATGTCTGTCCTGGCACATATTGTTTTGGTGTGCCTGCACTGCTTTTTTCCAGGGTTTTTTTCTTCGCTACCAGGAAACCCTGGTAGCAAATTTTGCCCCCATGCTGCAATTAAGCAGTTTTGCGCGTGGTTTAACATGCAACATGTGCGGTTTGTCGCATCACAAAGAGGCCCGTGGCACCACTAACCACAAGTACCTGCGTGCGTGGACGCAGCCTTAGGCGATATTCTTGAAGGTAACTGAATGTTTAATAAAACATATGAGGCAATATTTATCAAAAGTAGATGTACTTCTGTAGTTGCAATGTCTTTTTTCTGGCACACAGTACTTTTGAATATTTGAGAGTGATTTGAATTAATTTGGATACTCCATACTTGTATAAACATGAAGCTTTGTTAACAGCATATGGAAAAGTAAAGCAATAGTTAATATAATGCAGAAAACACTACTGTATTATAACTTCCATTTTGGGAAGTATCCTTCAGTTTCTTGTTGAAAACTGGAATAAATTAGATCAGATTGAATGTGGATATTTTATCTGCATTCAGCAATACTTACTGTTCATGTTGATCATGTTGTAAACTTCTCCTTTTCCAAGGTAGACTGTGAATACTCTTGAAAAAAACAACGGGGCATTGAGAATTTCAGATTATACATTACATGGTTTTATAAACTCAGGGAAAGAATTAATTCATTTGTTAATGAAAAATTTTAACTTATTTGGCTGAAAAACTGCTTCCTTTGGTATGAGTGCTCTTTATTCAACCTTTCAATGTCAGTTATCATTTTTAAAACAGCTTGACCTGGAAGCATACAGCTAAAATTGTGGTGACTGTTAATGACAGTTTTATTGGACACTATGCTTATAGTTCACATTTTGAGGTCTGTATGTAATTGATCTTTCTACCCTACATGAGAAACACTGCAATAAGTTGGTTGCAGCACCACATTATAGATATAGAGAAATAATAATGATGTCACCTTGAGATTCAAAGATCGTGGAATAGTAATAGTCTCCTAGCTCATTCTCCCAACTGTGATGACCTCTCCAGTACTAAATCTTAACAGTCTCAGCATTATTTTTGAATTATTCATGCTAGCCTTTTCCCTCACTACAAAATCAAGGAAAATGAATGCATCATGCTCTGTCAGCTCCACAGGTATTTTGGTAAAAATATAAAATGTTATTTGGTTTCACAAAATCTGTGCAGCGATACAGGTCGCATGCCTGTTCGGAAAAAAACAAAAAATTTCATATGCAAAAGAGATGGAGCACATCCACTGTAAATCTGAATGATGCATTTTGAATCGTTGTAAATTCTAAATCCTGCATTTTGATTAATTATGTGTATGTCTTCAGAAATGAAACAAAAATAAACAAGCACAAAGCACTTTTCAATTATTTTGACAATGCAACATTAACATTTTTTTGCAATTGTAAGGGAAGATAAAATAGGAAATTAGTGATTTAGGAATAATCTGTCACTTTCTTAACATCATGTTTAGAGCTGATGTTAGAGATATCACCTGGTTATGCAGCAATAGCAGCAGATAAGTAACAGAAAACAGACAGAGTTCGTGGAACTACAGTATGAGAATAAAAACCACTAGCTGGTTCTTAAAGATAGTAGGTTGACAACTCTTCTAGTTTATCAAGCCTAGATAATAAGAGAGGGCTACAGTTTTATTCCAGTGATGGATCTCATAAAAAGTGCACATGGGAATAAAATAAAATGCATGTAAATGTAAACTCAAGCAGGTATCCTGATTCATCTGTAGCTGGTGACCTTTAAGTTCATGATGAAAAACAAATGTCAAGCTTTCAAAAGACAGAAGTATCCCTGGCTTTGCTGGGGATTTTGTATGCCATCGCACAGACTGTATTAATTTAGTCTGGCATCAATAACCTTGAAATCAGGATTTTGCACTAAAAATCTAGTTTTATGTTTATTCAGAAAGCAAAGATAAAAGGCGACTTTATTTAAGGGACCTTCCAGTGGCTACAGGGAAAATGTAATGTAACAGTGTTGATTTTGCCTACCTTGCTATTCAATGCTAGCTCCCATGGCAACAGATTTTATACGAATATAAAGAATCTGATGAAGATCGTCTTTTTATTTTGCTAGGAGTTTTAATTATCAACAAAACCCCTATCTGTGGAATTGCAAAACACACCTGGAAATGGAATATACCTCTTGAAAGTCTTGTAAAAGATGTACAGTTTAACCACCCACAGAGTCTCAAAACCCACCACAGAAGACCAAAATACCTTATATCAAGGGTGAGCAATTATTTGGGCATGAGGGCCACACAGGCTGTTTTGGTGAGCTGTCACAGGCCAGGTCAGCACCCCACCCCCCACCCCAACAAATCACCAAAACTCCGTATGTGGGATGGGACAGTGGTGCTCAGAAGAGGGATAGGTGGGTGAGGCTGGGATCACAGGGCGGGGTTCTGGTGTGGTGACAGCATGGGTCTGTGGCTAGGTCAGAGCCATGACCTGCTGCCCACACTTCCCTGCAGTAGGTGTGGGTTCAACGGGCAGGGGCGTCCAGGGAGCAGATAGTAGCTCTGCCCCACCTTGGCCCCATGGTGTCACTGCTCCATGATCCTGGCCCCGGGCCCAGATGCAGCTCCCTGTTCACCCATGCGCCTTCCCCGCCTGGCTTCCTGGTGCTGCATCCAGGTGAGAATTGTGGGGTGGTGACAGTGTGGGGTGCAGGGTGGTGCAGCCCCCCAGCAAGGCCTGGGGGCAGTCTCCAGCTGTACCCTGGCCCCCCTCACCTGCCCCCTCCCCCAGCCTGGGGCATGCACCCTGCAGGCAGGGGAGGAGGGGAGTGGACCCAGTGGCAACTCCACACCCTGGAGTTCGCTGGTAAGACCGCAGTTGGAGTACTGCGTGCACTTCTGGGCACCGCACTTCAAGAGGGATGTGGATAACCTGGAGAGGGTCCAGAGAAGGGCCACTCGTATGGTTAAGGGCTTGCAGGCCAAGCCCTATGAGGAGAGACTAGAGAACCTGGACCTTTTTAGCCTCTGCAAAAGAAGGCTGAGAGGCAACCTTGTGGCTGCCTGTAAGTTCATCACGGGGGCACAGAAGGGAATTGGTGAGGTTTTATTCACCAAGGCGCCCCTGGGGGTTACAAGAAATAATGGCCACAAGCTAGCAGAGAGCAGATTTAGACTGGACATTAGGAAGAACTTCTTCACAGTTAGAGTGGCCAAGGTCTGGAACGGGCTCCCAAGGGATGGGGTGCTCTCCCCTACCCTGGGGGTCTTCAAGAGGAGGTTAGATAGGCATCTAGCTGGGGTCATCTAGACCCAGCCCTCTTTCCTGCCTATGCAGGGGGTCGGAATCGATGATCTATTGAGGTCCCTTCCAACCCTAACATCTATGAATCCCTGCCACTTACAGGCTGGAGTGGCTTACAGCTGCCAGGACTGACTGGGCTGGGGTCAGGGAAGGCAGGTGACACTGGGGCACCATCATTCTGTACCAGCCCGCAGCTCACCCAGAGATGCCTAAGAAACAGCAGCAGCCCCCAACCCCACCAGCTCAGCATGGGTCGGAGTGGTGCAGGGGTGGTGCCAGCAGTGGGACCCCTGGTGAGGGTGCTGCAGCTGAGGCCAGGACCAGGGGCTGGTCTCCATGGAAACTGGCCCCCAGCCCTGGATGCAGCTCCCTACCCAGCCACGTGTGGTCTCCATGGAGACCAGCCCCCAGATGCAGATGCAACACCCTCACTGGAGCTCCTGCCTCTGCCCCCACACTGCTCTGCCCCACCCTGAACTGGTGGAGATGTGGGCTGCTGCTGCCATGAGGGCAGCCTGGGGTGAGCTGCAGCCTGGCATGGGGTGGGGGCATTTCAACATTTCAGGGTCTTTCCCTTGTTCTCTCACAGAAGATATCGTATAAAATACCTGTTAATTCTGATGCAAATTTTCAAATAGATTAATGAAGAGATGTCACATAATAGTTTAACAAACTGCATATGTGATCAATCAATTACTCCTTTGACTCCCAATGAAAAAATCATTTCTGTGACTTGTATGTTCTCGTCTCAGGCTGTTTATTTGCCGAGACTCCATGGGCACACTTACACATGTACTTAGTGCACATGAATAAACTCTGGAGCTTATTGCTCCACAGTTTTTTGCTCTCGGGTGCAGTTTGAATGTGCACCCAGAAGCAATTATTCATGCACAGCACGTGGAGCCCAGTTGGAGCAGCCCCAGCTTGCAGGGGGCTCTGGAAATTAGCCTGCCAGCCTGGGGCTGCTTCAACCAGCAGCTTGACAGGGCTAACTAGTAGGCAGCCCGCACACTAAAGCACCCTTATGCCCCAGCCAGCTGGGTCAGTGTCTACATGTATACTGCTGCACGCAAAAAAAATCCTCTGTAGCTTATAAAGTACTACCCTGCTGTGGAGTTTATTCGTTTCCTACACTCTAATTGGGGTGCATGTGTAGATGCTGAGACGTTTACCGCGAAGGTAATTGGTCAGCTCCGCGGTTAGCATCTCATGTAGACATGTCCCATTAGTCTGAGTGGGAGTTGCACCCTATATATGGAAAGCAAAATAAATTGTTTTCAAATAAAGCAAAATAAAGTTATTTTCAAATGTTTCAATTTCCTCTTTGTTTCAGCTTTAAATGGGACACTTTTCCTCCGATGAAAGCCATGCCATATTTTTTAAGAAACAAAAAAGCACCACTATGTTAAAACGAACTACAAGAACACTAAAATGAAACCTCCCTGACATCTCGTGGGAAGAGCACTCAGCCACATCTGAATGGTCGCAAAGCTTCCTCATGTGTGTGGATGGGCTCTATCTGACCCAAGAAGTTTATGGACTGACGAGAAGCAAAGTGCTGCTTGACCTGGTACTGGCAACAGGGGATGACTTAATCAGTGACATAACAATCGAAGGGAAGCTGGGAAACAATGACCATGAGCTGATCACCTTCATCATCTGCCATAAAGCTGGCAAGTCAGTCAGCAAAGCAGAAGTCCTCGACTTCAGGAAAGCCGACCTTGACAAGCTCAGGAGGTTTTTAGGCAAGGACCTAAGGGACCATGACCCAAAGGGGAGGGGAGTTCAGGAAGAATGGTTGCTCCGAAGGGAGCAATCCTGAAAGCAGAAGCAATGTCTATCCTGTCTTGGAGGAAAGGCAGCAAAAGAGCGCAGCAGCCCCCTTGGCTCTGCAGGGAACTAGTGGACCTCCTGCAACTAAAAAGAAAGGCCTATAAAGGATGGAAGACTGGATCCAATTCAGAGGAGGAGTACTCTGCACTGGTTCGGGTCTGTAGGGAGCGAACCAGAAAAGCCAAGCCTGCGACTGAACTCTAACTGGCTACACGTATCAAGGACAATAAAAAGTCCTTTTTTAGATATGTGGGGAGCCGGAGGAAAAACAAGGGTAACACTGGACCCCTGCTAAACCAGATGGGTTAACTGATGCCCAGGAAAAAGCCAACCTGCTCAACAGATATTTTGTGTCAGTTTCTCACCAACCCCAAGGGACGGCCCTGCTTAATATGGGATGGGATGGCCAGGGCGAGGCAAAGCTGTTACCCTTCATCAGTGCTGACCGTGGAAAAAGCCAACCTGCTC